TCAAGCCAAGTTTCCAGCTAAAATTTGTAAGTTCTTAACTGATCGCTGGTTTTAATCTAACTCGAATCTTATCAGCAGTAAGTACTTGCCACAACCTTCTCTACCAGTGAAAGACTGAAACAAATAAATTTTGTGGCGCAAGTAGCACCGTCTGTTTTGTTTTGGTTTCTATGTTTGTCTTTTTGTTTTATCTTTGTTCTTTTGTTTTTGCAGCCAGAAAAAAAAGATTTTAGGATGGTGTATCTCGGAATAAAATCGTCTCAAGAGAAGTGAAATGATCGTGACAGTCATTCCGATAAGAAAATTCTTCTCCATCAAGGAGTAGGAAAACCAGCTAATTATATTTCTTAGTCTACTTGCTAGATTTCAATTCTTTTAAAAATTGTAAGGCTTTTCGGATAGCCATCACTACTTAGCAAAGGGCGAAAATCATTGCTAACTATTGGGAAAAAACTCGTCTAATGAACTTGTTGAGGATGGTCTAATATCAAATATGAAATAGAAACTTAATTACCGTTCTTTGTTGTACTTTGTTATGATAATTCACTGAAATTAAGTCTGCTAATTTTTCTTGTGTTAAACCATAGTTAACTATGGTTAAACAGGAGGCAACAGAAGCCATACTCACACGATGTCTCTTCCAAATGCGTCCACTTTGATAATGATGAAAGACGATTTCCTCCTTCTTTCGTATTTTTTTTTCTTTCGTATTTCTTACCTACCACAGTTGGCCTTTGCAAAAGTAAACTTGCCATTTCACGAGTAATGTCAAATAATGCCTAATTCAAACAGTCCAGCTGCGGTGATTTTTGCGGTTGTGCACTGTGAAGGTTGACACCCTTACTATTGTGTTGTTGATGAATCCATATATGATCCCATGCATTGATCGATATTAATTTAAATCTTTTAGCGCACGCCCATTTTCCCCTCAACTGAAGAATACAGATAAGTGTTGAAAGGATCCATTTCTCACAATGATAGCTGAATACTCAAACCTAAATCAGAAAATTTTGCGGAAAATTCACCCAACAATGCATCCAAATAAGAATTCTTCTATGGAGACTTTACATTGGGGCACTTAACCTAAGGTTATTTTAGCAGCTTAGAAAGAGAACTTTAAAATGTGTTTGTAATATTCGAATATTCGGACGATTATTTCCTCACTGAAAAATGTGTTGCATCGCAGTGACGTGCAGTATGAAAATTTTCCTCATATTAAAATTTTTGAACTGAACGGATTGTCTGGATTTGCGAAAAAAGTTCCTCTTGCTGACCTCAACGTAGGTATGCATAATCTCTAAACGCTCTCTAAACATTTCCAATAACGCCGAAAAGGAGAATTTGTTTATTAATTAGGAGCTTCATAAATTGCTGACCATTTTCATCAATGTCATAGCCTTTGCTTTAGATACAAGGGTGATACTGTAAAGAATTAATTAAAAGCTAGTCGCTCTCAAGAGTTTAAAGGTGAAAAAAATTGTTTCCGGTGAAATGTCGCCAGGAAGTAATGTCCTAAGTAATTATAACTTTTATTCATTGTTCTGTGGTTTGAATACAGAATCGCAAAATTCAGTTCCTAGTGGAAATTTCGGTCATCGCTCACTTGTTTATACAAGACTTAACTATCGGCAATTCTTAAATTATAACTCCTTCATAAAATCGATGCAACTACGAATTAACAATTTCAGCCAAATGCTTTTCTACTTTGAAGATCATTCATTTTTCCTTGTGATCAACATTTGATTTCAGTCGCTATTTTGGACTATTTAAAGAAGTGTATGTTTCAAGGGATTCTCAGCAAATTCATCATTGCCATAGACGAGATCCTGCATTAACTTTCAGTTTCATTCGATGTGCAGCGTGGACAAAATGGTAACGATGAAATCAAACCTTTACAATAATGCGAGGAGTGTCTTTCGCCCACAGACTACTCAACGTTCTTGAATCGTAGATCAACGGTTATATACATACGATTAAAAAGACTCCTTGTCTTTTAATCTTAATCATTATCTCTTGAAGTCTGACCATTTAATGAATTTTCCACAGCCTGGCAGAGGTTATACCAACAACGAAATTTCTTTTTATGATTATCAAAAAAAGATGAACATGAACACTCTGTCACGCCCGCAAAACGATTGGTCCATTTGAAGGTCCACATTCCTCGGGCCATTTTGAAATTTCGTTTCAATGCGCCACCAGCTCTGCGACTGGCAGATGTGTAATATATTTTGAAGGATTTGAGAAGAAAATATAGAAAAAAACTCCTTAATTGTCTAGATGTCAATTTTCTAATCATTTGGCTCTTATTATGCAGATGTCACACTGGACATAGTAAATCGAAGCTCAATGCCCAAATTCTGGGGGTCGATAAAACGATTTAAGTGAAGGTGCTAAATTTTTTTCCATTAAGACTCAAAACTATACCTGATTAACATTGGTCGATCAGGATAACCGGTGATTTCAAAGGCGAATTAAAACCCTTTGACGGCTATTACCGAAAGGACTGCCACAAATTACCCTTTTCTAAAGAGATACTTTCCCGATTAGAAAAAACTTAAAGAGGTTAAGTTTCTAAAGAAACTGTGGTCCTGTGCCAGTGGGGATATTACGAGATAATTTGGTTTTATCAACTGTGATGATAATGTAATTCGCCCCCCTAAAGAGTGTCCGACGTTTCGAGCGTTAGCACTTCGTCGGAGCAATTGACGAAGATCTAACGCTCCGAGCATCAGCTTTAGAAACCATTTACGGAGATCAATTTTCATTATCAATTGGGCTCGTTAAAAGATATTATCTTATAAACATAAACTCCGCTTTAATTTATATTTTCATTCGTAATTAACCTTCCATTTTTGTCATTTTTACTATTTTCACCATTGACATGGGATGTGGCATCTAAATAACCTTAAATTACATAGCTTAGTTAAAATTCTAAATATTTCATGGAGGCACAACTTGGCGAGGTTTTTCAAACTTTACATCCGGTGTGCATGAAAATGTGTTTAATTGAAAAGAAGACGTTGACAAAATTAAAAGAAATAACTGCGTTTTCAAAGATACACACATTTATACAACCCCACATACATACATACAACATGCTTAAAAAATAAAACTGATAAGTCGTTTTTGCTTAAACACGAAGGCGCGCTATAAAACGAGCCTTAGGTCCCACTGGACCATTTGTCAATCAACCGTCGTGTGATGTGAAACTCTTAGAGTCAAGTCGGCTTGAGCTACAAAGCAGTGAACAGTGGGCGCATTCCTCAAAATTTTTTTATGTCTTCATCATAATACAAGAATTTTTGACACTTGTATTTCCTTTCTCCAATGGAAACTGTCTTTATTTGTGGCGGTAAATTTGAGATCGAAGTAGGTGGTTCGCACGTTACCTCATGCCACCATGCTGGTGGAAGTAAAGAATACATATCTCATTAGCTCATTTTGTTCGTCTACCAGCATTTAAATTTGACCCGCACACGTCAACGGTGAGCGACAAATGAGCCTAGATCTTCCTTGGGAAGACTTCCTTATATAGCGCGCCTTCGTGTTTAAATGACACATGTTTTTTGAAAGAAAAATCTCTCTCATGCAGTAGTCAGTATTCGTTTCATAACGTAATTTACAGATAAAAACTCGTTTCTACGCTTCGCGTAGCCACAAGTTAAAAATGAAAAATATGAAGTTCAAAATTACGGAAAACGGCAAAAATAACCTCTTTACCAGCTAATTTTAACGATTTCAACACTAAGTGGAATTCTTTTCAGTTAGTGAGCAAAATTCATTCTCTTCTTAGGGATGGTACAACTCATGTGGCTGTTAAAATTCAGTTCTCAAAAGTTGAGAGTAACAGGGTATTACCAAGCGATTCAAATAAGTTTCAATAAGTTTCTTAGCATGCGAGGGGAAAAACTACAAAAGAAATTACGACAAGTGCCGATTTTTGTCTACGTAAGTGGTAAAATTCATAAGATGGGATATCAAAGATTCACGTGAAAATGATTAATTATAGAGAAAGTTTAAAAGGTGGAATTTCATAGAATTGTATTGTTTGTGTCACTGAATCCCATCGATGAATATACGTCGGATACTCTGACAAGATAACATGAAAAATACACTGTGAAGTAGAACCCTGCCAACTCGAGTTATCAAGGGAAAAGAAAAATGGTTCTTGCACAATCAACACTCATTTCGTGCATATAGTTTGTTTTACGATACCTTTTGGCAGAGAGAGTTAAGTTTGGAAAGATCAGCTAAATCTATTATATTTTCGTAAATGTTATCACGTTTGTATCAATCGCGATTAAAGATGAGGGCATGTTGATCAGCTTATGTTCTAACATTTTGACGTTTATAGACTGAAGTTTTAATAAAGTTAAAGTTGGCATTATCAGGGTAAATAACAGTCGAGGGAAAGCAAAAATGGTTCAAGTTAAAAAGGAGTTTGAGTTAACTAAAAAAATGCGTTCAGATGCAGGGGAAACGGATCTTGCTGAGTTAGCGGGGAATTCGAGTTCACTGAGTTAGTGGTTTACTACTATACGTGTGTCACATTCAGTTGTAATTTTGTTTCAAGCACGGAGGAAAAGATTATTCGTCATATCTACCTGTTTCGGGGCTATTGAAAACTTATTTTCTGTTTTACTGATGCTTTCCGGAAGGATTTTACTCGTATTAAATCTTACATGGCATGGAGATAAAAAAGTTGCAAACTTTCAATATAAAACGAAAAAAATAAATGAATAAACAGTTGTTAGGGCATTGTAAGCTCAGCAAGGAAACGCGCCGGCAATTATCAACGAAAAGCATGTCTGCCCATTTGGTTAAACACTCATTCCCAAGCTTCTCTTTCTTGAGTACCTTCTCTTTCCTTTTTCTTTTTCTTCCTTCTTGTTGATTGTAAAGTTTTGATAAAATGACGACCTTTTGTCTCCCGAAAAAAAAGTAATAAACAGCTCTGTGTATTCTGGTGTATTCAACGAAGAAAAAAATTAAACCAAACGTGAAGTGTATTTGTATCTTTATTGATAGATGTATGTAAGCTATAACATGTAAAATTATCATGATGATCGTTAAAAATTAATCTAAGATAAATCTCCAAGTCTAGATTAGGCATAGCCGGTTTCTACTAATGAAGATGCATCATCATTGCTCCTCTGACTGAGCATCGTCAAATAAGTTTCGCTTTTCTTGAAGCAGTTTTGATAATCGCATCAGCCTATTTCGTCTGTATTCGTTCAAAGGGACTGGATTTTCATCAGCTAATGAAGCCCTAGGGTCCTCCAACTCCTGAATTAATGAAAAACCACACAAGTCAGAGATCAAGCGACCACAAATGAAAAGGGGGTTTTAATCCACAACTCTGCTGTAAAACAGAAATTGTTCGCAATTTATGGAAAATTTTATTCCTTGCCCTCTCTACTATTCTAGTTGGGCTATGGCTTTTTAGATTGGATTGGCCGTGTTTAAAATTGATAGAAAGAAAAGGCGCATTCTATATCTAGGGTGAGCTTGATGGGTGGGCACTATCAAGCTCAAAGTACCTGAAAAAAAATGCTTGAAAATCCTTAATATGTTTGACAATAGATGATAAAATTATTCGTCTTTTGCTAAGTTTTCCAACGAGGTTCCCAATATAGCTTCCATCGATGTTTCAGAAACTGTGAAGACTAGAAGAATTAACTACCTTAAGCGCTACAAAGAGCCTTAAAAATTTTACGTTCGTTAAATGACATACCTCTCGCTTACATGTCATGAACATACATATGTATTGAGCTTCACATCGACTCGAGAACTCTAAGAGCACAGACAAAACTAAAAGGGCAAAGAACAGCCTAGACACCATCTTCAGGATCTGCTGTCACCTCAGGGAAATCTTCAAGTTTGCCTTCACACGAGCTTTGCACGGTTCTTTTATGAGCAAGCTTTTAAACACGGAGGCGTCAACGATCGTTAACTTAACAATTGACTGATTAGGGTTCATTGTGGAGGCAGTTAACTATCAGCATGACGTCATAAAGGCCGATACACAAAACATTTTTAATACTGCCTTGGTCGAGTTTTTAAAAGGCAAAGGGTGCATTAAAAATTAAAAGTGTTACCTATAATCAGCCGGAAGGCATCGTGAGAAAATTATAATTACTGAACTGCAATATGACGCCGCCCTGGTGAATCAGCCAATTAACAATGATAATAGTGAATTTCTGTCTCCGGGTAGAAACTGAATTAAATTTTGATATCAAGGGAGGCTGACAAATTTAGTAAAGCAAAATAAAAATGCAGTTTAATTCCGTTCTGTTTATCCTACTTTAATGTCTAATCTACTCAGAAATGTTAAATGTTTGAAACCCGAGCTTCAATGAAGAACTCTTCAAGGATTCCTCGTCGTTTACTTAATGAGAAGCCGCCTTCAAAGAGCCATTAAAGGACTCTTTTTAATAAAAAATGAAGACTTCTTGATTAATCGATTAACCTTGAGAAAAATTTAGCCCATAAGCTCAATTTCAAGTGCAAAACAATTACCACATCTTTCTTAAAGCTTGTTAGCTCGATTAACCCTCGAGGAAACACTCATCTGTGTAGAATTCAGTACAGATAAAACTTTTTTATCTGTACTGATGTTTATGATTTAGAAAACTAAATCTGACCACGGTTATGACCAACCTTCAAAGTGTAATTATCAGTTGCATGATAATGAGCCTATTTCTGTAGTCATAAACACATACATATGCTAATCGTTGGTGGCCATCACTTCTAAATCTGTTGTGAATTTTGATGGGTCAGGCTCGTTGTAATAACCAAATGACACCGGCCGGTTGATTAATTCATCATTTTCACCAGGCAAAAAATGCTAATAAATAATATTTTCCCACTGTTTTTCGAAATAACTAAAGAATAAAAAGCTAGCCAATTTAAACCTTACCTGTGGGGAGCATTTTAGATTTAATGAGAAAATACTTTATAGTTTTTTGGCATAAATAAAATAAATTGTAAAATATTCAAATCTATGAGTTGTTCAGCCAGCACCTGCAGACGTTTTACCATCAATTTCTCTGAAAAGAGGTAAAATTACTTTCTTTTGCATGCGAGGTAAGTTTTATTTTGTAGAATTCATATGACGACCTTAGGTATTTGTGAGTTTGATCGACTCAAGGATTCAAATTAAAGCTTCTGTTGGTAGTGCTTTTTATAAGCTAAAGTTGAAACTGGGAACAATGCAAGAGCACGATGTTTTTTATTGTTCTCATAACGACGAGAGCTTCAATGCCTCAAGATCTAGTCCATCCTAAAGGCAGAACCACATTAGATATTTCATTTTCCAAAATTCACTGCGGGAATAATTTTTTTCTTGAATCAAATTTCTTTAAACTAGGGTATAATTCAGTTCTTTCCGAATGAACTTTTTGCTGAAATTCTTTAAAATACTTTCTTATTGCTATTACAGTTCACGGCTCTAAACATTTTCCAGCACCAAATCTTTGATTTTTTTTCCAAAGAACTGAAGAAGCTTCCTTCACTTCTTCGGAGATCTTGGAAAGCTACGATATTCTTTGTCTATAAGTTCGCAATAAATTCGCCTGTCCGGCAAGAGGCTGAGAAAATTAGAATAAGGTGATCAACAAGCTTTCAATCCTCCTGAAAACAAAGGTGACTTCTTGGAGAGAGTTAATGGTTCAAGATGAATTTTCTAAACTTGAGGATGCCAAACGAGAAATGAGACATTATATTTTTCTCTCTTTAATTAATGATTAACACTTGTTTACCAGCTTCATGTGTAACAAATTTAGCTCTAGGTAATAATATTTAGTTTTCATTTACGAGCGGCACGATTCCCTTTTCTTTTCACAAGACTGGTTGCTGCATGGCTATTCCTCATTCAGCACGGCATCATCATAAACGCGGTTTCGGCGTTTGTTTCGCAGGAATTCTTCCAATCGCGAAAGCTTATTTCGTCTGTACTCGGTCTGAGGAATCTGCGGTGAAAGATCCGGGACATCTTGTAACTGCAAGAGAGACAATGAAGAAGCCTAGAGTAATCCAAAGATGCGATTCCTCTTGGGAACTCCCACCCTCTTACTGAGGCAAAAAAACATTCTCCTAAATTTACATTAGTACTTACAATTTACCATTTTTCTCATTCTATTTGTTTACACAAAGCTCTCGGCATCGCTTATCCAAGCAATATACAGGACCTTGGCTCACTGCACAGGCTCTAGAGCGTTGGTGTGGGGATTTTAACGCAAAGTTTTATTCCTGATGGCCTCAAATTTGTTTCTGCATACTTCTATATATTCGTGAAAAAACGAACAAACAACTGTCATTAGCCTTCAGTATGTCAAATGCCCAACTAGAGGAGTTAATGCAAATTAGAAATTTATTTTCTAATTTGCATTAGTAGGATTTTTTTCATTCTAGAGAACAATCATTTAAAGTTTTCTATCACTCATAAACATAAACCCTCTTTGTTTGGTTGTTTTTGTTTTCAGCTGAAGGATAGTTTCAAATATCGCTAGTTTCAAGAATTGCTACAAATGTCTAAAACGTTTCAGGATCCGATTTAAGCACTCGTTTTAGTCAGGTCCACTCACCCCCTCTTTGTCGCACTTTGAAGGGTTCAAAATACATTTATACCCTTGGGCCTGAGTTAGGCCCGAGAATCCAAGAACAGTGAACAGGACAACAAGCACTCCAAAAACCTTCCAGCTCATCGTTAGATCAATAGTGAGAAATATGTCTGACTGATTCTTGGCTTTTTATCCGTTGCCTCAGTGACATTTTGGCAGTTTATCCTTGATCAAAGTTGACAGCGACATTGGCTTAATGAAGAAAAGGTTGCTATTGTGCATCCACACGTCAAACCGTGCAAACATATGATCGCAAGCATGAAGTTACGAACGCGGACATTTTCTCTCAGCCGCCAACAAAAATACAACAATCATATTTTATTGACTGTGGCTAGAATGACTGAAATAAAGTCCGGATGTTTTATCGATCCTAACTGAAAATGAAATGGCCAAATAAAAGTTTCCTACCTCTCTTTTGCCCGGTGGGCAGTACTGCAAGACACACCTATAGTCTTGGGCCTTGCACAAGCCTGAGTGCTCCAACACTACTGACAGGATAAGAAATACACCAAAAATCTTAAAAGTCATTGTTACGGATCACAATTGGAGCTTCCGAAATCGATCTTCAGGAATTCTTCAACCCTCTGAAATGACTCTTGAAAACACAAACACTTGGACTTTGTCCAGGCTGACTCAAAGCAAAAAACACCTGTACTTTTTTGTGATCCATTACCGAATATATTATTGAAGTGCTTTTGATAGGTAATGGATGTATTTGAAGATGAAACAAGATAAGTACTTTTGCGGTATTGGATGGGCTTATAACCTTTTGTTTTGGTCCTTAAAAATAAAGAACACCTAACGTCATCTTTTTCTCGCTCATATTTCACTTTTTTGAGGCTTTAGCCCAAAAACGTATACGGAGCCAGAAAATTCGAAACGGTCTTTTTTTTTCTTTGCCCAACGACTCTTTGTCGCCTTAGACGGTCGTTATTAGCTTCCAACCTTTCCTTCGCTCCGACGAAGGGCTAACGCTCGAAACATCAGCTTTTGTAATCGTTACAGTGGTCAATTTACCATTTAAACTTTTTTGATATATCCAAATTATATGAATATAGCTTTGTTGAGGACTGGAGAGTTCTATTCAAAAGATGCATAATGCGTAAATTATTATCTTCCTTTTTGTTTCATTTCAATTTAGCAGGCAATTGTGAAATCTAAGTAAAAAATAAAACTTATTTCCACTGGAAATAAATTGTAAACGTGTGAAGTGGTTTATTGTGGTATCTAAAGGGAATTTTTGTTCAACAGGAAGCGCACACAAAACGTTCAAAGTTTTCGTTGTTAACAGAACAGGTGTTAATTTATAAAACTTGTCATTTTTGACAGCGTCGAGCTCAAATACGTCCCAACGACATTTCATAAATAGTGCTTTGACATAAAATGTTCAGTAAGCACCAATTTTTTCCAACGCAGCACATGGGATACTAATTCTTTAAACTTCCTCTTGGCCTATCACTTTTTACATCGTTATTTTTTAATTCATGCTTGCACTGGTTAGTTTTCTACATAATGAATACTTTAATAGCAAATATGAATATTAGATATATCTCATTAGACGTTTTGGTGTGTAGTCTCTTGGTTTTTTTTTTTTTTTTTTTTTTTTTTTTTTTCTCAAGTTGTGCTGTATTTTGACAAGCCCGGAAATCTTTTCTCATGTCCCGGCGCAAAGAACGGAATTGTATTTTTATTATCCAACTGTGCTTCGTAGAGTACAAATAACGCCCAAAACGAGTACAAATAACCCGCCGTATTTGTACTACAGAGAACCGGTTAGACAGGTTTTCTCGCATTGCGCAAGCTGATAAATACTAGCTTTTAAGTGAAACGATGAAACTCTATTGACAGTCAATCTTAATGAGAGGGGAGGGGTTTGTACAAGTAATCCATAATAGACCCAATTGTTTTGTGCTACCAAAATTATTTTCTAGTGTGTGAAATTTTGCATGTTTTTATTGTGATAAATGATTTATGTAACCATCCAGAAAACAGAAGAATTGCGATAATCTGTTCATGTTGTCCTTCAGCAGCATTGTTAAAATATATACAAATTAATCGAATGATGCCTTGCACTGCTGATGATGCCGTTGATCGGCGAAAGCTCGGAATTTTAAAACATTATACTTTTTACAGCAGTGTAAGGCTTCATTCGATTAATTTGTATATAGAAGAATTTCGGTTTTCGTTCATGGTTTTCCCATGAATAACATGAATAGTAAAGTAAAGTACGTAACGTACCAGGAATTTAGACTGTTTTGAAAGTTATTCTTAGATAGCTGGTGAAACTTTTGCATCTTTCCATTTTTATTAATGATTTATGAAACTA